AGTGGCTTTAATGTGAACTCAAACATTCACGCCATCACTTTCAACGGCATTGATCTGTCAAATGAATTGTTGACCACAACTCGAGATCATATAATTAAAGGGAACGTAAACTTTTTGAAAACTCTTGTCGTGAATGGAGACATAGAATTGGACGGACGGGTGAATGGCATCGATCTCTCAGAATTCTTCGACAGAGTTATGAAAACAAATACAAAGAATATTATTTCGGGTAATCTAGAGCTGATTGGGTCGACAACTGTTAAGACAAACATTAATATTATGGGAAGACTTAATGGCATTAATTTGACACAACTGTACAACGATGTCCTTTTTGCCAATTCAGACCTTATGATTACTGGCGTCAAGACTATTGCGGCTCCCGTTACTGTATTGGGACACTTGAACACAAATGTTATTAATAATGTAAATATGCCTAAAATATTAGAAGATATCGTTTATACCAATAGTAAACGTGAAGAGCGAGTCATAGCGCCCAAGATATTTAGGAATGACATCTCAGTTAACGGTTTAATCCAAAACAATGGCATTGCGATTATGGGACCAATAAATGGGGTTAATTTGCGACTATTGGACTCAGAGTCCGTCAAAATAGACCGACCGATAAATCTGCAGACAGTCATCAACTTTAAAGATCTGGTAATTATTGTAAATAATTTGACGCAAATTATGGGCAGAATTAATGGCATAGATCTGGGCAAAGATGTGATTTTTCTGCACACCGATAACGGGTCACCTCAAGTGATAAGTGGGAAGAAAATCTTCAATCGCTTAGTTCTTAACGATAACGCTGTCATCAATGGTTTAGTCAATGGCTATCCACTGAAAACTATAGAAATGAACACATTTTTCACGACTAATAACCAAAGTATTAGAGGCCATAAGATAGCGATAGGTTTAGTGGAACTCTCGTCTCCTTATAATTATATCGCTTTTCTTAATGGAAAGAGAATTCCCGAAGACTTTATCACTTTAAACGGCGATCAGAATGTGTGGTCTGTATTGACATTCAATGAGCCGCTAACTGTTGACCGAAAACTTGTGGCGAGCGGTTCCTTAAGCGGACAGAATCTCCATAAATTGGCGACAGAATCCCTTCTTAGAGACAAACCTCAAGTCCTTTCGCATCCAATTAAATTTGAAACTATTGTATTCAGAGGTGATGTTCTGGTGGCCCATCACGTTGACAATGTAGACCTGAGCGCACTTGCCTTAAGAGTATACGGTTTCACAAGTCGTGTCAATATTTCGCAGAAATTACTTGTCTTCAAAACTAATCGACACGAATATATCACTCATTATATGTTTGACTCGTTAGAGAAATCGTTGTTTAAAATTGATTTCTTTATTTTATATCAAAATCTGGACGAAATCCATGGAAATCGTATTAATGTCTTTAACGATAACACATATACAATAAGTGATACAATAGGAAATCGACCGACAGTTTACTCAATTAGATATAATCCTAAATCTGAAGATTTTGAGTCAACGGCACTCAAACAATATAATGATTTAATTCATAAGACATTTGTATTAAATGGGGAAGAATTTGTCGTTCACATGAGTCCTTATTCTTACAACTTTTCTGCTTATATCTCCAAATCTGATCAAATGGTCGCACCGATCGGTTCCTCTATTAGCTATATTGAAGTTTTCAGCTTAAGTCCAACAATTGTTTTCTTAATTTCATATCAAACAACAACTGGAAAACTATTGGTTCACTCACTGGAGACTGATTCACACAACAAGTATAAGTTTAGTCAAGTGACCGAATCTAATGTGGGAACCGGTATGT